GAAATATTTAGTAGCAAGGCAATTTTACGGATGGACCTAATGTACAGGTGGCAACCTGTCATGGTACCACGCTTGAATTCACTGAGCTCCTGAGGGCGACCCATTCTTTCACAAATGTTTGTAAAAGCAGTCTGCATGCCTAGGTGCTTGATTATACACCTGTGGCCATGGAGGTGACTGGAACACCTGACTCCAATGATTTGGAGGGGTGTCCCAATACTTTTGGCAATAGTGCAGTATATATATATATATATATATATATATATATATATATATACTAAATTGCCAAAAGTATTGGGATGCCTGCCTTTACATGCACGTGGACTTTAATGGTATCCCAGTCTTACTTCGTAGGGTTTGATATTGAGTTGGCCCACCTTTTACAGCTATAACACCTTCAACTCTTCAGAGAAGTCTGTCCCCCCCACATTACATCAGGGTCCTTAGAGTCATCCTGCATTACATCAGGGTTCTTAGAGTCCCCCTGCATTACATCAGAGTCTCTCAAGGAATGGGAAGATCGCCGCGGCGATCGAATCTGCACATGCATAGAATCCTGACAAAATGTACAGGCAGGCAGGCACTAGGACCCAGGCGCGCCTGTCACCAATGACGGCGCCGGGCAAGCACTAGGACCCAGGAGCGCCTGTCAGGAGTCGGGCGGGCTATTTAAACCCGGCTCTTGCAATGCTCAAATGCCTTATGGTCTTACCTGTTTTCCTGAAGTTCCTGATTGTAGATTGTTTTGTTGCCGACCTGTCTGACCCTGATTTGCTGTCCGTCTCCTGCTCTGATCCCTGGCTTGTCTAACCATTCTCCTGCTTAACCCTGTACGTTCTGACCTCCTGTTAACGAACCCGGCTTGTGACCTGTTTATCCCTCTGCCTGCTGATTTTGTACTATCCCGCCGGCACCACTGTTACCGACCCGGCCTGCCTGATGCTGCTCCTGTTACCTCCTCACATCAGACTCTCACCTGCTATACACCTCCAACGGTGCTTCTACCACAGCTGGGTGAACCCAGGGGCCGCGACCTGGTCTCAGCCTGCTCCAAGTCCATCCCCACCATCAGGGGCCCTGGTGAACAAGCAGGTCGGAGCTTAGATTCCGTGCCTTGGGGGAATCTGGTCTGTGGAGTGCTAGAGGCTACTGCGGTTGGATCCCTGATAGAGTCCTTAGAGTCGTCCTGCATTAAATCAGGGTTCTTAGATTCCCCCTGCATTACATCAGGGTCCCCAGAGTCCCTCCACAGTACATCAGGGTCCTTAGACTCCCCCTATATTGCATCAGGGTCCTTAGAGTCCCCCTGCATTATATCAGGAGCCTCAGAGTCTCACCGCATAACATCAGGGTCCCCAGAATCCCCCCACATTACATAAGGGTCCCCTGAGTCCCCCCATATTACATCAAGGTCCTTAGAGTTCATCTGCATTACACATCAGGGTCCCCAGAGTCCCCCTGCATTACATCAGGGTCCCCAGAGTTCTCCCACATTACAACGGGGTCCTTAGAGTCCTTCTACAGTACATCAGTGTCCCCAGAGTCCCCCCACATTACATCAGAGTCCCCAGAGTCCCCCTACATTACACCAGAGTCCTTAGAGCCCCCCCACATTACATCAAGGTCCCCAGAGTCCCCCAACATTACATCAGGGTCCCCAAAGTCCCCCACATTACATCAGGGTCCATAGAGTCCCCTGTATTACATCAGGGTCCCCAGAGTTCCCCCACATTACATCAGGGTCCCCAGAGTCCCCTTGAATTACATCGGGGTCCCCAGAGTACCCCCACATTATATCAGGGTCCCCAGAGTCCCCCGCATTATTTCATGGTCCTTAGAGTCTCCTCCACATTACATCAGGGTCCCCAGAGTCCCCTCGCATTACATCAGGGTCCCCAGAGTTCCCTCGCATTACATCAGGGTTCTTAGATTCCCCCTGCATTACATCAGGGTCCCCAGAGTCCCTCCACAGTACATCAGGGTCCTTAGACTCCCCCGCACTACATCAGGGTCCTTAAAGTCCCCTCATATTGCATCAGGGTCCTTAGAGTCCCCCTGCATTATATCAGGAGCCCCAGAGTCTCTCCACATAACATCAGGGTCCCCAGAATCCCCCCGCATTACATCAGGGTCCCCAATGTCCCCCTAAACACTCCCTCATACTTAAACCATACACCCATAACCCCCCATAATTTGTCACTCACAAAACCATAACTCTACCAAGCATATCCTACCTTCTATCCAACCCAACAGTACCTCACATGCCCCATACTCTACCACCTATAATAACCACATAATTGAGAACCTGTCCAAACCAACTCATACATGTATGTTTACACACACATACAGACACATGTGCACACACAGACATACTGACACATGTGCACACACAGACATACTGACACATGTGCACACACACACATACAGACACATGTATACAGCCCTATAAAAAATTGCAGTATATTACTTTCCCTCACACAGCCAGGTACTGCACTCTAGGGGGAGGCAGAGAGCACAGCAGACACTCCCCCTCCCTTTGCTTTCACTCTACTCAGCGTTTTCAGCAGTCTGACAGCTCCCAGTGCTGATGTACAGGCTGCCCTGTGGGACACACTTGCCCTCACGTTATTTCCACTCGCCATATGTGTGCAGGCGAGTGGGAATTTTGAGGCATGTATTTATATATATATATATATATATATATATATATATATACACACACTCACACGGGGGGGGTTGATGCTGTTACAGTCTGGCACAATAATGTAATATTGTATGACTTTTCCAGTATGCAGAAAGGAATAGGCCCCTTTACTGCTGGGGTTGGCCTATACTTGTGATGCAGCATGTAAAGTTGCATGACTGTGTGTCAGTGTTCATCCTCCTTAGTGTTAATCACTGCTTTTACAGCCAGTACCAGGTATGCAAGCCTGCACTGTCATAGCCTTAGATGAGTCATGAGGGATAATTTATGAACCTATAGGTATTCTTCTAATTACTGCATTGGAAGCTTCCCTAAGTATTGGAATATGGATATAGACCCTTATGCAATAAGCAATGAAAGCATTACATAGCCCTATCTCTGATTTTATTACCCCCTTGTGTCCTGTATTGCTTCATCTGAACATCTGGTATGGCCTTCGTGAAAGTGTCTTGCTAAATTCAGTTTTAAATGTATTTCATGTCAATAACAGCATGAATGGAAACACCACTGCTATAGAACCCCATGGTAGGTAAAAACAGCCTACTTATACTGAAATATTTTGTGTTGACTGACAATTCAGAAATTATATAGATACTATAAATAATATATATATATATATATATATATATATATATATATATATGGTGGGGGTTAGCTCAGGTGGGGGATCACCTTCCTTGGGAAAAAGGTAGTCCAGACGGCAGGTCTTTCTTAAAAATCTGACTTGTAACCAGTTTTATTTAAAAGGTTGCATGCATCATAAACAAAATAGAACAGAAGATAAACCCTCACCATGCAGGCACTAACTAAACAGAGGAGATTCCTATTTCACAGGTGAAGGGCTTCTCCCTGTCACCAATAAAACAAAACGGTGTGCAAACCTTTTCCTTTTCCTTTCTTGTACAAAGCAAACTCTTTCATTCATTCACAGCTCTCTCAAGTATGAATCCCTGAGTCCCAGGCCAAGAGCAACTTCTTGCTCCAATCCTGCTTTATTTTTACCACCTGCTGGTGGTCATTAGTGGACCGCAGAATCCGGTCCGTACCCAACTCTGCCAAAGTAGCCTGGAAAGCCCAGACTGGACTCCACCTTAGTCTCCCAGATATGAACGCATGTGAGGTGACACAGAGGGGTTTATTTACTAAAGCTGGAGAGTCCAAAATCAGACTCCCTTCTGCATAGAAACCAATCAGCTTCCAGGTTTCATTGCCAAAGCTTCATTGAACAAGCTGAGGTTAGAAGCTGATTGGTTTCTATGCAGAAGGGAGTCTGATTTTGGACTCTCCAGCTTTAGTAAATAAACCCCATAGTGTCCATTAATCACCTCGCCTTTCATAATGTCACATTATATATATAAATCCGGGCCTTGATCACCGTAGCTGCTTGGGAGGGACCACACAAATGCAGGGTCTTGTACTGTTTTAGTTTTATAGTCACGGTTCAAAGTTGTAGCAAATACAATAGAGAAACATTATGGCACACTGGTAAACAGAACAGTATCCACACAGCTCGCTGTAGTATAGTTTACAGTAGTGTTACTGGAAGCCAGCCTCTACTGGAGGGGTGACAGTTTTTTTCTATAATCTTGCTGCACTGACCCACTACGAGATGTCCTCAGAAGGTTCCTCTTACTGACCAGGAATATTTCCCTGCACTAAGCACTTTCCCTTACCAGTGCGTTCCTCATCCCAACCTTCTGCTCACTTAAAGTGTACCCAAATTATGTTGGAAATCCCTATTTAAAGTCTCCCTTGTTAAGGGAATTTGGCATCAAATCAAATACCTACCTTCCTTAGAAAAGACTAACAGAATTTCTAAGTGGACAATTTACCTGAACAGACTCCTCTTCCCCTTCAACACAGTGCCATATACAGGGCAGAAGAATGCCTGCACCTTTCTATCTATCTATCTATCTATCTATCTATCTATCTATCACATATCTATCTATCCGTTTCTATCTATCTATCTATCTATCTATCTATCTTGCTGTGTCTACAAAAACATTATACTCTGTAAAATAAATACCGTATTTTCTGGCGTATAAGACAACTTTTTTTACTTAAAAACATACCCCAACAATTGGGGGTCATCTTATACGCCAGGTATAGAACGCTGGATGTGCGGTAATACTGTATGGTAGCTTCAGAGCCGGATTGGCTGAAGTTGTGACATCATCAGCCCGCCTCTCTGACACAGCCAATCCGAGCAGGCTCTATATTCATTAATAGAATACATCACTTGCCGTGATTGGCTCATATGACATCCTCCCATTCTCCTCGCATGCGCAGCGAACCGCTGTGTCCCTCGGACACAGCTATCACCGATCACGGAAAGAGCCAAAGAGGTCGGCTCGGTCATGTGATCAGCTGTGTCCAATCACAGCTGATCACATGTAAACTGGGAAATGCCGGTTATCGGCATTTCTCTCCTCTCGAGCTGTCACGCTGACACCTCGAGAGGAGAGGAGAGCCAGTAATGCGACATGTACACTGATCATCAGGGCACTGATGATCAGTGTGCCCTGATGATCAGTGTAGCCCCAGCAGTGCCAGCTGTCAGTGTCCATCAGTGCTACATCAATGCCACATATCAGTGCCTACCAGTGCACATCAATGCCACATATCAGTGCCCACCTGAGCTGCCTTTCAGTGTCACCCATCAGTGCCAGTCAGTGCCACCTATCAGTGCTGCCAATCAGTGCCACCTATTAGTGCCAGTCAGTGCTGCCTATCAGTGCCATGTATCAGTGCTGCCTTTCAGGGCCCATCAGTGATGCCTGTCAATGCCCATCAGTGCTGCCAATCAGTGCCACCTATCAGTGCCAGTCAGTGCCGCCTATCAGTGCATATCAGTGCCGCCTATCAGCCAGTCAGTGCCACCTATCAGTGCGCATCAGTGCCACCTATCAGTGCCAGTCAGTGCTGCCTAACAGTGCCATTCAGTGCCACCTAACAGTGCCAGTCAGTGCCACATATCAGTGCCGCCTATCAGTGCCCATATATCAGTACCATGTATCAGTGCTGCCTTTCAGTGCCCATCAGTGATGCCTGTCAATGCCCATCAGTGCCACCTACCAGTGCCTCCTCATCAGTGCCCATCAGAGCCACCTATTTCATATGGGTACAGTGTTGCATGACCACGGAATTGTCATTCAAAGTGTGACAGCGCTGAAAGCTGAAAATTGGCCTGGTGGGGAAGTGGGTATAAGTGCCCTGTAGGCTAGGGGTTAAATGGTGTTGCCTCAGAAGGGGGTAGTCTTATACGACGAGTATTGCCAAAAAATCTATGTTTTAACTGGAAAATTAGGGGGTCGTCTTATACACCCAGTCGCCTTATACGCCGGAAAATACGGTATTTATTTTGCATATTGTGTCTCTTTTGAAGCCCTGCAAGTGCCTCTCTTTACTGCTGCATATATACAGTATGAACCAATTACTAATATTAATTATTGGGTAAAAGTGATTAAGCAGATAACATTGTTTTGAATGAACACATGATACAGTTAATTGGAAATGTTTTTTTTAGGTCCCATCTTTCTTCACTGTTCACTGTTTGTATGGAACTTATTTAGTGTGCACTTAAACAGCATTTAGACCTAAGAGAAATGTGAGGGGTGCTATGGCTGACTTCTTTTCCTGAAAATGCTAGTTCCCTGGCTGGCATACTGACCCTCATTGACTCACTGTAACTGTCGCTGATTCACTGGGTTTGATTTACTAAAGCCAAAATAGACTGTGCACTTTGCAAGTGCAGTTGCACTTATCCCCAGCGCTTAGTGAATATGGTAAAAGCTCTGCTGATTTACATCACACAGGGAAAATGCTGTTTTTTATTTTCCTTGCACATGCATGTATATTCTTTACATAGTGAAGCTTGACTACATTTACTAAGCTCTGGAGAAGGTAAGCGCAACTGCACTTGCAAAGTGCACCATCCATTTGCCTTTAGTAAATTTATCCCACTGTCTCAACCTTTGAGTCACTGCTTTGACACAAATACGCAGAGGATTTAGTTGAGTCTTTTCTGCAAATTTGTTCGAGAAGTACCTAGTGGGTCAGCATAACAGCCAGGCAGCTAGCGTTTTTAAAACAAAGACAATAACAACAGTCCTATATTTATCTCATTACAAATTGCCAATGGGGGAAAAGTATTTTAAAATTAAAGTGCTCAAAACATGTTTTAAAAAACCCTTGTATTACAAATGTCATAGAATTTATGCTTATAATAATACACAACAAAATAACTTCAATGTATTCATGCAGTCACTGGCTTTATCAAGTGGGTGGGTTAATCGTACACATTTAATAATTTCCCCGTATGTGTCCTATGAGAGCATAAATTATTCACACTCAACATAAAGAAATCCTACAAAATATTAGTAAAAAATTCTCTTCAGGGATTTGATATGTAAATGCTCAACAGCAAGCAGATGGCTGATAATGGCTAGCTGCCACTGGGGCAGTGAAGCGTACAACAATAGCAAGATTGCAATATGATTTTAACTGTGTCTCTTTACTCTGTGATTTAAAGTGAACAAATAGAAGTTAGAGTGCTTTTCAAAGTTCTCCCCACTTCAGTCTTTGAAAACAAAAACTATTAATACTGCAAATGGCAGAGGTATTGAAGTGAGGTCAAATTCCGCTTAGTCTGATGAAAGTACTTGATTCTGTATTAGAAAAGAAATTGAGGATTTCCTCAAGAGCCATCAGAGCTTTCAGGCAGCAAAGGGCAGAATGGTAATAAGAGGAAGTACATGGAGATGGAATGGAGTTGTAATGGGCTAATGACGTAAGCTGCTATCAACTGCCAGTGTATTATCCTTTTGCTGAGTACCTGGTACTTCATCTACGCATAATGTTTACTTGTGCCGTCATTTATATTATAAAATCAGTACTCCTCCAAACCATATATTCACATTCCACTGATTTTTAAAAAATGATATGGAGTGGTAAGAACTCTTAAACCACTTCAGATTATTAAAATGTGTGTAATACAAGGTGCATATACATACAGTTGCTGCCAAATATGCTAAACTTAACAATTTTTAATGACTACTAAAACTAGGAGTACCCATGGACATTATAGTTATCTGATTTAGGTAAATTAAGTTGGAATACGCAATGATCTCATGTCCATTGGTTCCTCGTGAGCTGGCTGCCTGCCAACTTTGGAAGGTTCAGTTAGTAGGGCTAGTAAGAAAACTTGTCCCAATTACTATGGAACCCCACTGATAGGCAAGCACCAGCTTCTGCTCCACCACCATCCTTTTCCAATGTGTATACTGTACACTGCAATCTTGACTGAGCCAAGCCTGCAGATATGTGATATACGCTGCAGTGCCTTGTGCTCTGGGGCTGATCCATTAAACACAGTAGCATGACTTGCCTGATTTGAGCTAAATCCCATCCAATGAGGGCACTTCAGTGGCCATTCAAGTTGCTCAGAAGATAGCAGGAGTATAAGAGAAATGTTGCACAAAATTCATGGAAAGAAAGCTCCTAATTACAAAGCAAAGCTGAATCAGAGAGGGTTTTAGTCCTCATGCACACTGGATGTTTTTACAACTGCTGGTTTTGGCTTTTGGAGTTTTTTTCAACAGCCAGTAAACTCCACAGCATGTTATCCTATGTGTCAATGCACACATAGGCTCTAATCAAAGGTTTTTGGCAGGGGAGTTTTTTGGCTGGAAAAAAACCCAGAACTAGTGGGTTTCTTGTGGAAGTTTTTTAGCTGTAAAAACGCTCTAACAAACGCAGAAAAACACGGCGTTTTTGGGCAGTTTTTTTTAAAAAAAAATTGTATTCATTTTTTTTTGTGTAAAAAACGCTAAGAACCACAAAAGTGGAAAAAGTTAATGAGTGAAAGGGACATTTTCTGACATTTGCCCAGAGGTTTGGGTTTGTGCTTTTACCACCTGCGTATTTAATGTGACTTTGCTACGGGTGTTTTTAAAACGCCCAGTGTGCATGAACAAGGGTTAACAAGGGTAGTAGCAGACAGCTTGTGGTGCCTGTTCTTAGATGTTTTTTAAACAATTAAAACAGTTAGGGGGTTCATACACCCTAAAGTGTCATTAAACTCACATAATTAAAAATTATCAGTGCATGCTGCATTACATGCTGTTCATACGCACACAGTCACTAAGGGATTTGCTTTTTGTATTCTGAGAAAACCAGTTTAATCTTGCTGTTCACTGTCCCTCCCCTCTTGTCAGTGTCGCCGCTGCAGCCTAAGATTATGTAGCCCAGCCACTGCCACATCTACTGAGCATGCTCCAGTTTTTAACTTCTTCGTCATTCATTCCCTCTTTCTTTTCTTATCTGTTCAGCCCACATGTGGGTTTATACACTCTGGATAAATGACAGGCCCACTCTCTCCCTCCTCCTCCATGCCCACTAAACAGTTAAAGGCTATAGAGGCAAGATATTACATGACTGATGGAGGCTTCACCTCCCTGTAATTCTAAGCACATGGACACAGGCTGGAGGGGCATGAAACAAGCTGAGACTGGAAGAACCCCCCCCCCCCTCCGATAGCCCACACCATGTTTTTGCATAAAAAATAAAGATTTTGGTTAAAATACATATTTGTGATGATTTGAACGCTGTAATTTATATATGTTATTTAACACTTGACTGGCAGCAGAAGACTAGAAGCTCTTCTCGCTGATGTTTCCCTGTAGAAGTACTGGCAAGGAGCTGGGTCACATGACAGCTGTATATTAATTATGAAAACAGTACTAAGATCTTTTTCTAATGATCAATAACGTTTCTTTATTCATATACATAAAGAGAGAAGATAAAGTAAGCGGGAAAGACAATATGGTATAGAAAAATTCTGAAATGCAATGCTACATTTACACCAAGTGACACTTTTGTGTATATATTCAGGAATATTTAAAACAGCTGAAAATAAAGACAGATATAGATATAAGAACTTAAATTCTACTTCTCTTGCACACAATATTCATACAATTTTATTAAAGGCAGTTTGAATTTCATGTGTATTGGCTAATATTATATATTTTTTTTTTTATGTAAAGAGCTAGTGGTAGAAATTGTTCAGATTTATTCTATTTTAACCATGTAAGTGAATGGTACAATGCTTTTCCCCACATTTGGCTCTGAGGAAGAGGCAAGTCTTCGAAACGCATCAGCTGTTGGAGGTCCAGAGTTTCCCATCATGAATGCACACTTAGTGCGGATCAGACCGAACTGTTCCTATCAGGGGCGGACTGACAACTCATGGGGCCCCCGGGCAATAGAGGATCATGGGACCCCTGTATCCTTACCCAAACTCAAAAAAGCCTATGAAAAAGGTACCAGGGGCATCTCATGGGGCCCCCTACTGACCCCGGGCCCTTGGCCAGTGCCCGAGTTTCCAAATGGTCAGTCCACCCCTGGTTCCTATACAATGTACCTTGACTGTTTTATCATTTTGTGAGTATAATACCTACTTTTATCATTTAATAAATACATTTATTAAATGCATTTTTTAAGGTAATGCACTAGGTCGGTGCCTTTTTTGTTTTTCGCTACTCCCACATGTCTGATGTTCGATGTGTGCCATGTATTACAATTGGAACTACAGATGGCAGAAATTTGTCAGATCAAGCTCAGCATTCCAGTAAAGTACTTAATGGGTCATTTTCAACAGTCATGTTATGTAAGAATCATGTTCACCTTACATATTATGTTCTTGACAAATCAAATTTAGCAGTTATTTCACTAATAGTAGGAGTAGTCACAATCAACTGAACTTGTTCTGCAATGTTAAAGGCGTTTTGTAAATTCACTTTTTGATGAGTCTCAGGAAAACACACCAGCATTTATATCCACATACAGTAGGTGGCTATAATGTCAGGT